TGTTCTGGGGGAATATTCATCTATAGATTTGCGGCACGAGGTATTGGCGAGTGTTTATTTTCTCTGGACTCGTTGCGTCATGTTGGATCGAATTGTTTGTGCAGTATTTGTCGAGGGGGTGGACTATTCTCCTTCTTGGCCGTCATCTTGTGTCTTGACGGAAAATTGCTTTTTCAATGTATCTAGACCATCTGGGCGTTGACCAAAAAAAGTCTTATCCCATTACAGCTTAGCAAAAGACAGTCCGTAACATCATCAACTAAACCACGCTACTACACCACACATCAAAAAGCACCGCGTACCATTTCACACTTCACGCGACCAAGAGGCACGGATACATCCTTTTCAAAAAAAAAAACTAATATGCCTATCTGATGACCTCGACACCAAAAACCACCAGATTTCAAGAAAGAGAACAAAAAAGGCTCCCAGCCAAGGCAGACTTTCAGCCCGGCTCGCCACCCGCTTGACCGACGCTCACACCCCCAAGAGTTTCATCCAACAAGCCGCTAAACGAATGCGCTGAAGCACAAAAAATTTTTCCCGTCCTGATTTGCCCGCCGGAACCGTTCCAGCAAAGACGGGGAGGGGGTGTAGCGGGGAGCATTTCGAGCGACCCATCAAGGACGTGGGTTTGACCGACGGCCAAGAAACGGGGGACGGGGGGCCATTTAGAGAATCTTGGTGCAGCTGAGGTCGATGAGGGAGAACGTGGGGCTCTGCAGGACAAAAAAACGCTATTAGATTTCAGGAGAAGCCAACGTTCAGGGGTCGAACGTACCTCGTGAGTAGTCTCGCAGCAGTAGGAGCTTCCGGTGCAGCCAAGGATGTTGAGGAGGCAGAGGTTGAGGAGGCCGCCGCTGCAGCAGTAAATGTTGGGGGCGTTGTTGCAGTTGCCGCTGCCGGTGGGAACGGCCGTGACGGTGGCGGCGAGAGCCAGGAGTGCGGAAGCGTACTTCATGGTGGTGGTTGGGTTTTTGCGGGAGGCAAAGATGGGGGATTTGTGAGTGTTGGGAGGGGAGAGATGGACTGTGCGGCGGTAGACTTTCTTGTAGGACGGTCGGGTGGTCGGGGGGGGATGAATGGGGAGCGGCGAGGCCTTTTTATATTCGAAAGCCGTTTCTTGAGGCGTCTCCTGTCACGCCTTGCTCTCGGCTGAGCAGAGTCTTGAGACACATGAGACCCTTGCCATGGACATGTCTATGCGGCGCCGTGTACACGCTTGAGTACATTTCACGAAGTGCCAAGCTTCTCTCGCATGCAGCCTTCCTAGGAGATGCCCCTTCCTTGGAAGTAACGGGAGACTTGCCAGGGGTAGTAATATGTATGTATGTATGTATGTATGTATATGCTGGGTAGCACCCTCAGCTGAGCTCGCGAGATGAACAGAGCAATCTCACAAAACATGAATCGTCATAGTCGAGGCGATCAACATCAGTATGTACAGGCCCTGTTGGACCAGACAGCCACCGTCTCTCGCTACTCTTATGCTACTAGTTACAAAGTAACATAGATTGCATATCCGACGTACGTGGCTTGAAGAGCCTCTTGTTTTCCCATCACGGTCCAGTCAGGAAATCACACACAATAACACAAGCCCACCCACACATACATGTGTATGTATGTACATGTGTGTATTTATACATGCACACGTACACCCAAAACAAAAAGGCCGATGCAGCTACCGCAGCTAGTAGACCGTCGTGAAAAGCCTCCGTACCCCTTTCTGGATGTTTTCTTCGAGCGTGGCCATCTGCCCTTGTATGCCCCCTGCTTCTCTTGTTCCATTTGGTTATCCGTAACTGCCGGCAAGCCTTGGTTTGGCGCAGCCACGGCTTGATTTCTTATGCATGGCATGTGTAAGAGGGTGCACCGATCAGTCAAGCCATGGAGAGAGTCGTCGTAATATGGCGCTAAGGGGCGTATATGGCGTAAAGGAAGAAAAGGTCATTTATTTGACGTAGTTTTAAGACAAGATACAATGTACGTCCACACGTCCTGGCACGAATAGCGTCCTGTTGTGTATCGGCAGGTTGGGGACAAGAGCTTGCCATTGGTACAGTGTTTGATTGGAAAGATTGGCCCGCGTGGGCTTGTCCGACATGCACATCATCATGTACGGCTTTTGTGCCTGAGCCTTGAGGAATTCCGGGTAGGGTACAAGCACTCTTTCGTCGGGCCTTTCTCGTCCGATACTTTGTCGTCAAACGACCCGGAATCATGATATGGAAGTGGCCATATGGTTGCACCGCAATGTATGGGGGGAAGACAAGAACCGCTCTCCGGGCGTGGCGACGAATGCACGTCGTCAGTCGATTGTTTTTGTTCCCATTGTCTGCCAACTCCCCAGCCTTGAGGCGACTGAACTGGCCCACGGTCAAGTTTCCGAGCACTTGGCTTTAGTCCCCTCTTGTACCATATTCCTACCGACACACCCCAAACCAGAATGTGAGGAAATGGCAAGGTCAAAGACAGGGAAGTGAGCAGACCTGGGTCAAGTAAACAGAATAGTGACGATGACCCGATGCAGGAGAAGCTCTGAAAATACGTAACGGGACGGCTTGCATGACAGCCACACGGGCTGTCGGCAGTAGGAGACACTCTTGCCATTGGTCCAGATGTTCCAACCAGCTACGGCGGGGGATATGGTGTAGAAGGGCCGAAGCTGTAAAGCAACCCCCCAGGTGCATATCTCGCCCACCACAGACATCTGTTTGGAAGGTGGGTATTCGTTCAGCTTTTGTTGCGTCCATACACTCCCTTCTGACGTTTGAATCAACGCCCCCTACCCCGGTCGCTTCGGATGCAACATTGGTACCTCTGCCGGAAGAAAGACGGGCTCACAAACCGGGGAATCCATGGCGATGAAGAGCCATTCCAAGCGCGTTGATCATTTGCTTAGTATCCGACAGCTAGCCATCTGGCCATCATTCGGGATTGCCATCGGACGGATGTTTGAAGGTAGTCAAGATATGGGGCAAAACGGATTCCGGACCTCGGGGAGCAAGGTTAGAAAATAATCACAATGAAATGTAAGAACAAAAATATACATACTCGTAAAGGATGATTAGTCTTTTTCGTTCTGTAGGCCGCTTCTAGTCATACTGGATGAGGCTTCTTTGACGAAATGGAGGTGAGAGCTGAGTCCTGACATGCACATCAGGAACTTAACAGGTCGATCTAGTGGTTCGCGCCAACGGATTTGGACGCAGAAATCCGACTTCTGGGCGTATTTCATCTCCACTCGTTGCTGCCAACTTCGCACTGATGAAACTGGAACATGAAGTCTCAGCAGAGAAGCAGTAGCCACCGGAAAATGGATCCCTCGATCAATAAATGCGTTATGGGCACCATCTGTACTGGTTGAGAATTATTGTTGAATGGATCAGCATGACTTCTCCAATGACTTGTTGATCCGAGCCCCGGACATTAGGCACTCGGTCCTCTTAGCCTTTTTCCCTCTTGAGACCATACGTACGCCACAGCTTTGTCACGGGTGCCGTCGGATCTTGGGGGACTGCTCCTTAGACGTCCTTCAAGAAATGTCGTTGGACTCGGCTGATTAAGATGAGAAAATCCGCGGCAAGCCAAAATGATAAGCCCTGAGGTGCAACTGAAGGGCCGCTTTGGCTACTGAGCACGGCACCATCCGTTTTTCTGTCATCCAGCATGGCGACTGCCGTTGCCGTGGTCCGTGAATCTGCCAGACAAGTGTCTTTTGGATGCAGCAAGACGGCTACGCTATTGTTCGGGATTGGACAGATGAGCCCAAGTTATCATCCATGCCCCCTTTCAGCTGTGATGCGGGGATGAGAAAGAGGTTCGTTCCACGTTGCATGGGAGGCGAGAGCTTGACATGGGGGTGGCGAGATGGAAAACGAAGGGATTAGAAGCAAGCATGTAGGCGACAAGAATGAGTCGACAAGAATGAGTCGACAAAAAAAAAAAAAAGACTCGGCAAGAATGATGATCCATCACGCTGGACATGCGCAGCCCATGAGCGGTGGTGGCCAAAAGAGAAAGGAGCATCCGGTCTGAGTCATGGGTTCCTTCCTTCCTTCTCTGGCCCAGCATGTCGCCTGCCATTGTTGTCTGCCTGCCGTTTGTCGCTACACCCAGTGCACCTCACTCGCGTAAGCCTTGATACTGAAGGGCAGGTATCTGCAAAGTACAAGCCAACTACGTCTTCCAGGCCGATATTTGATATCATGGGCCGTTTTTCAAGCACCTGTCGTCACTGAAATCTTGCCGGCTCCGCGAATGCAAACCTGCACTGTTGCCACATTGCATGCATCGTGCAGCACAAGCAAAGTGGAAAGGCTCGGTAGACACAAACGGCCCGTCGTCAAAGGCTTGGCGACATCCGTACAGGGATGGGTGTCTCGTGAGATGCATCAGACAATGAATGACCAGGTACTTCTTAGGCTCTTAATAAAATGCCCCCTGCAAGATTTTACAGTAACAAGCCCCGCTTCAGCCTGCTTCTTAGCTAATACGTTACTAGAGTATTGTGCCAAGGAAACCGCCATCGGCGTATGTGTTTCCTCTTCTCTAAAATATGTACATAAATACACAAAGTAAGTACCTAGGTACTTAATGTAATAAATAACATCAACCGGCGCCTTGTACCACGAACAATGGTCGAGCCCAGGCAAGCCCACCACCCGGCCTATGATTCACAATGGCGCTTGCTCCTTGACGAGTAAGACACGGAGATGTGAGACAGGGCTCGGATATCTTGATGACAGTGAATTGGAAAAGCTCACATCTAGCCTACGAGACAACTTTTGATGGTGACTCTAGAGCAAGAGGTCAGAGCATACATGTGGTTGAACAGGTCGCAGTTTCTTTGTCGTTGTATGGCAATACTTGGTAAATTGATCGTCTCCTCAGCAACAATAAGAGACTTGGTATAAAAAAAACTTGTCAATGGTGACGGAAGCGCGTTCGGATCGACCAGGTGCCTCGTTACAAGTCAAAAATACAAAAAACGAATTGTCTGACACCTGAGGGATTCGAACCCTCGCCTATTACTAGACCGCGAAGAGGGGCGATTGTGCGAGACAATCGAACTCCTGAACACGGCGCCTTAGACCACTCGGCCAAAGTGCCTGATTGATTGATGTGTGCTTTTACCTTAATTTGTAATATGATTTAACGACAACGCTTCTCCCATCCGCCTCTATGACTCTAGATTCGGGATCACCATCCTCGTCACGAACCATCCGTGTCGAGTTACTCGGAGCAACCGTGGAAAGTGCACAGAAAACCTGCTTCCTCTCCACTCCCCCACGTCCTCCACATCCCCTACATCCACCACACGGCACATAGCCACCTGCCAAAGTGCCGTGGGTGGCGGCAAGCTACCGGCTCCACGAATGGCGCTCCCCGTGCCTCGTTCCCTCGTTCCCTCGTCGCACAAGACTAAAGATCAGCTGTTTTTGAGGAACGTGCGCCAAGTCAAAAGTCTCCGAGTGTTCCCATTGATTGCTCGTCAGCGCCGTGGCGTCTCTGCCCCTCGCACCACTCGGGCCTCTTCACCCCATCCCACATCCTCCTCCTGGCCGTTCGTTTGCTCCGTCGTGGCTGTCCTCGGTGAGAAGTTGGACAATCTCAGCGGTAATCCGTCCCCACCCGAGGAAGGGAGGACTAATTTGCCAATCACGAAAAGGGAACAAAAAAAAAGCGATAATGGAAGGACAGGGACAACTAGGGTGTTCGGCCCGTCGCGAAACGGCATCGGCTATGACATCCTTTTGATCTTTTTTTATTTTTATTTTATTTTTATTTTTTTTTCCTTTACAAGTTTTCTTCAAGTAGACAAAATGGTTTTTCGACAGCGCCACACAGCATGATATTGGGCTTTAAATGACTGAGCTACACATGTCTCATGTCTTTTTTTTTTTTCTCTTTTTTTCCTTCTTTTCCCTTCTGTTTTCTTTCTTTCTTCGTTTCTTCTTCCGCAATCCCAACGTAGTGGCATGATCCTTGGATTCAACATGCTCCAACTTTCACAGACACACCATCGCACCGGAGTACTTTCATCATAAATGACGGGGACGGGATGTGGCACTGCCTGATCGGTCACTTGGGGCTCGGCCCCTGCCAGAGAAAGCGTTGTACAAAGTCTAATGCCGCAGGGGAACTCCCATTGAGGCTACGATGTGGCAAGGATTCATTTGATAGGAACCGATTTGCCGCCCGTCGAGGAGATTCCGGACGGTGCGGCGTCTTTTCATCTTTTCATCGAACATGACGCCGGACTTTTTATGGAATCAGGCGGCAGCCCAGACATGGTATGTATAAACGAATGCATGTACCTGCCCACAGTGAGATAGATATAAACGTAGAATTCATTGAAGGCGAGGATCCGACCACTACATCCTTGCCGTGGCGCTCTCCGCAGATTCCCTCACTGCGAGCTTTCCCAATGCTATCACTTCTCAAAAAAGGAGGCAAGCATACAGCTTCTTTCCCTTGTCAACGCCTCTCCAGCCTCACCACGCCCATCCCTCATGCCATGGGGAGCATGGCCTTCTCTGTCCCCGCTGCCATCGTTTCAGGACCGCGCACAGGGAAACCTTGCCACCGACTTGTCTTCGCTCTCGCTAGACACGATGACGATCCAGGAGAAAGGCACCCCGCACGAGCGATGCGTGCCAACGACACCTGCCTCATCCCATTGCGTCGAACTTGTCTGGATTGAGGCTGTCGCAGCGATACTTCAGCATTCTTCCAGTAGGAGTGCCAGGCTTTGGCTATGGCTTGCGTCGCCACGTCACCGCGCAGCGTACCGTTGGATCAAAACTCGGAAATGTGCTGAGCCAGTCCCTGCTTCGATACACAGAGATACAGTCTCGGCGTCTTCTCTCGAGTGACTAGCTGCCGGAAAGTCTGCCCTGGCTGGCTGAACTCGGATCTGCAAGTGCTCCCCCTGCCTCGAGCTGAGGATAGACACGACGAGGACTCATTCGATGGATCGCCTCTGTTCCAGACATGGCTGGCTTCGTCATACACCGCACACGTCAACTCAAAACTCGTGCAGCATCCGTGACCCAATAAGATGAAATGACACTATGACATGACTCGATACATTGCTGTGGAATTCTTCTTTCGGTCACGATGGGTGCATTCCTGCTATGGATGAGCTCGCCATTGATCGCTGAATTTTTGCTAAAAAAAATCCCGGACAGGGCTGAGAGCGAGATACCTTCTTTGGACACATTCTACTACCGCGAGTCGTTTTGAAGCCATTGCTGAACCGCATGGCCTTTCCGTTCTGTATTCGCCATCCACCGTTATCTCCACTGTACTTGCCCAACTCACTAACATCCCACACTGCCTTTGAATGGTCAAACAAGTACGTCAATCACTCCGAGGAGAAGTCGAAACCACGCTATCGACTTCGTGGGCAACTAGCCGACCTCCACGCCCGACTTGGTTACAAATCTCGGATCCAAAGCCGCACTTTGTACCAGTGGGAACAAAAGAGAGAGTGTTTTTTTTTTAACATGGCACCATCGACTTGTGCCACGAAGCCAAGATGTGTGCTCGGCCGAACTCGTTTCAGCGCTGACGTCGAGACGCGATGTTTGATTCTTTGAGAAATCGCAGCTGTACATGTGTATCTGGACGTGTCGAGCGCCGTTCTTGGACAGCCAGACACATTTCTGGCTCCTTCCTCATTGGATACACAATGCGCTGCCTAGGCGTGGAAGAATGTGTTTTTTAACTGTTTATCTCTTCGGTGATGGATGTACGGGGTCGTTGACAAGAGCAGCAGCCTCTCGAGCGGTGCGCACTCTACTTGGCCTGTTGACCCAGCATGAATCCTTTCTTATTTGCCCATGTCAATGTGTATCCATGCTGATCTGATGGAAATATTTGTGCATAACTACATTGCCCCAGGTTCGTTCCAACCAGTTCTACGTCAAAAGTCAGCGGGACTCATTCCGCTTTCAGGGCCTACATCACGAAGAGGTGGGAGAGAAGGGGGAGGACGGGGCTCATCTACCCCTCGCAGAAGAGAACCACGAGGCTGGACCGTACGTCCTGAACGACCTTGCAGTTCATGACTGGTTCTTCGCAGACCAGCAAGCGCAAGTTCCTTGTGGTTGGACACAATGCCACGATGCGGCCATTGTATACTTTCCTGGACGGCAGCAGCGGAAGAAAGGACAAATTGTCCGATGCTGCTGCACCTGGTTTTCAAAAGACATTTCTGGCATGACTGAAGAGCCCACTCTATTGAATGTGAGATGAGATACACACTGAGAGGGGTCTCTAATCAAAACGAGTGGCATCGGTGGCATGAGTAGCCCATGTAAAGGCTTTCAAGGATTGCACTGTGCAATAAAAGACGCAATACCCTGAAAACAATTGTGTGCCACATCGACCTAGCCATGAAGAAAGAGTCTCTCCTCTTTCTTCTCGCCATGTCCCAGACAGCATTGCGAACAAAAACCCCTCGTCTGCCAGACACATTGCCTCCATAGTAAACATGACATACCAGGCAGAAAACCCGTCGGCATACGCCCGTGGAGCCGGCGTGAGCACGGAGTGGGACTTTTTGCACCTACGAGTGTCTCGACCTGCTCCTGTTCCTGTTCCTGTTTTTCTTTTCTTTTTTCTTTTCTCTTCTTGTTTGCATCTTGGTGGTCATTGGAGACTTTTTGTTTTCCAAAGAAAAGAAAAAACGCACATCATCCCACCGCACCATGTCTCACACGGCCGCGAACCCAGCTCCAAAAAAGACGATCCGGCGCCAACTTCAGGTCTGCGTGAGCGCCGTCGTTGTATGGGAAGGCAAATGTCTCGTCGGGTTCAAAAAGCCCTGTAATGAAGAGTCTGGCAAGTCTTGCTTGAACCTTTCAGATACTCGCCTTCAACCTCGCGTGTGGACTTTTTTTTTTTTTATAAAAAAAAAAGGGGGGGTGGGCATGGGACCTATGACCCGAATGAACGAAAAACTAACACAAACCTCTCAACTAGACAACTGGCAATTTCCCTCGGCGTGGTTGGAATGGGGCTCAAGCTGCGCTAGTACCGCGGAGAAAACCATCAAGGACAACATAGGCCTCGACGTAGAGGCCGTCGAGGATGTCGCAAAAGTGTTTCATGATGACAATTTGCGACTGGAAGAACGAGAACGACGAGAAGAGCACCCAAACGATCTACGTACTTTGCAGACCCAAAAACGTTTCGCATACTAACCCGACAAATTTCGTCGGAAGGGACGCGGTGCGGGTACCGGAAGGCTTTGCCGACACCATTGCAGAGGCCGCAAAACTCATGCCGATTGCAGCGAGAGGCATCGAAGCCGCGATCGAGGAATACAACGAGGTCAGGGCACTGTACAAGGGTGATCAGGGACACTTCAAAGAAGCTTGGAAGATGCACAGCCCGACACTGAAAAATCTCAGGACCATGACGAAAGGCATGAAGACGTTATGAGACATGCTAAATTCGAACATCCTGAGGGAGGTGGAGAAGACCAGGCTCTGGGGAGTGGAAAACGGCCGACGAGCTCATGCAAAGGACTCCTGGTAGGAATTTCAGGTCTCAGCCCTTGGCGAAAATGCTAGCCAATGTGCCAGGACTTGGTTTTGAGAGCTGGCGATGAGTTGCATCGGAAAGGGACACGGAAATGGAAAATGGAAACGGAACTCGGACGAGTCGGCGCTGATGAAGACGATTAGTTGAGCGTCCGAATCAAGTCATTGTGATGGAGGAAGTAGGTAGCAAAAGATGAATATCGTCTGGTACCGACGACCATGGAGGTTTGACGTGACTGCTCGCCGACAAGGAGATGGTCAGGCAAGGCTTTTCGGACAGCCATGTGTCGTCTGGACGTGCGAGGAGGAAAAGAAGAAGATGATGACGGCACGGTCGACGTGAACGCACACGGCCAACGCCACATCGCTCGCGCCACACTACCCACGCCACAATGCCTACGCCACACTACCTGACGCCACACGCTCAGGGTTCCATGTCGGCGACTCACCGGACGCTCGACTCCGGCCGGACTCGACGTCCATGGCACCATGTTCCGTCATCCACGAGTCCACGAGTCCACGATCGTCGACCACGAGCATCGTGCCGCTTCACGGAGC